GCTGCTGAATTGAACATAATAGTGCGCACACGAAGCTCGTGGACGTTGGGTTCAGCCCGTTTAACCAGCAGCATGTCGGATCTCACAACAGCGCGTGACCTTGAGTGTGCATCTCCCGTGAACATGACTGTACACTCGTGATCTTTTTAAATGAAAATTAAAGAATGATGGCTAGCTCGAAGTCGGGGAAGGTCGGGTTGGTTTACTTTGAAACCCTGCGCAAGGCTACGGGGCCGGAGTAATCACGACGGCCAAAGCAGGTAGAGAAGGAGTAATTTAGAATTTGTCACTACGGGATTTTTAAATAGGTTTATTGTAATAGAAACCAGNGATAAGAAAATTGATTGAATGGTTTACCGAAATGTAAGCGAAAAACGTTTCCTTGACGGGACTATTCACACAAGATAAGGCAAAATCAATGGCTGCTGAATTGAACTTAATAGTGCGCACACGAAGCTCGTGGGCGTTGGGCTCAGCCCGTTTAACCAGCAGCATGTCGGATCTCACAACAGCGCGTGACCTTGAGTGTGCATCTCCCTTGAACATGACTGTACATGAATGCGTCCGACGGTCGTTGGAACGTATGACAACCTGTCGCGGATCAGTCCGCAACACGTCCATAGTTCGGATAGAACGGCACTTTTCAATTCCTCAGAAAACCGCTACGTCAGATTCTTGGAATCTATAACACCCGACACCCCGAAAGTCATTGGCGGCATAGCAAGCGGGTGTTTCCACTTGAAATGAGCGTTTATTTATCGTGAATTGCAATTGATTTATGTAACATAAGTTGCTTTATGCAATTGCAGTGTAATTTCTAAACAGAGTTAAAAAACGGTGTTGTAAGTGCTACAGGAGTGTCTCTGGCAACTATAAAGAGAATCTTACATGAAGATTGCGATTTACAAACTTCAAACAATGGTGATGATAATATAACAATCAGTTCTCCTAAAAAACGTAAGAGAATATGCACGAAAACCAACATACCGGAATGGGAACAAATGGATATTAGAAACATAATTTATAACTTCCACAAAACATTACTCTGACACAATTACAATAAAAATTAAGTGCGGAATATGATTTTTCGGGAAAACGTACTTCCCTGCAGACAATGATTAAAAACCTTGGATTTAAGTGGAGGAAAACCAAGGACAATCGGCGGTTGCTAATAGAGAAGAATGATATTTCTTTCGCGCTTTAAGGTTGAATTGTTTGGATAAAATTAAATATTATAGGAGCCAGGGTAGACCTATTGTCTTTTTAGATGAAACTTATATTCACGTAGGTCATACTAGTTCCAATAGTTGGACATTAGAAAGGCGGAGACTATCATAGCGACATGAACTCGCAAAATTGTGGCTTACAGAGAAGCTAATTCCAAATCTTCCACCAAAATGTGTGGTCGTATAGTTTCCGATATTTCTGGTGGTTTTTATGACTTAATTGCAGTCATATAACGAACAAAGATGGGGTTGTATACAGGTAGTTTACGAACCCCAAACTCTGGCGTGAGTTGTTCAGGTCCACATTAACGAAAATTTCAATAACATAAAATTTAAAANTTCTTGGAATCTATAACACCCGACACCCCGAAAGTCATTGGCGGCATAGCAAGTGGGTGTTTCCACTTGAAATGAGCGTTTATTTATCGTGAATTGCAATTGATTTATGTAACATAAGTTGTTTTATGTAATTGCAGTGTAATTTCTTAAAAAGAAGAACGAACGAAAGATAGAACGTCATTGATTTTTATCTTTCTGGGAATTTTGGCTCAACAAATATCGTACCGACTGTACTTATTATATTAAACTTATTTCACAGTCGAAATTCTAATATATTTACGTAAACCTACCACTAGAGTTTACCCATTATCATTCATTATAACGAATTAGTTCGTAATATCAATAATACGAAGACAACGTGTCGATCAAATATAAAAACCTGCATATAAAATAATGACAACACTATCTTTGCTTTGCTAGTATCGTCGCTATTATCATTTATCGCAGCTCCAACGTAAACGTACCCTAACAAAATACGAAATGCCTATTATTATCAAAAATGCTTTCACCCCAAACAACATTATAAAATAATTAAAAGGCAGGGTGGTTATGATGAAGAATATAATACTCTATTAATTATTCAATTTTATATGATGAATCTGGAGAAATCAAATCAATAGCAACATTATAAAAGGTTTTGAAAAGACAGGTATTTTTCCGTATAACGCGACGTATTTCAAGAAAACGATTTTGAAGCTGCTGAGGTTCTTCGTGTCACAATACCTTCTCCTATAACATCAGAAATTCGTCAAGATGGATGTAGCACTAGACCTGATGATAATTCAGATAATATANGTATAAGTAAATTTATATTCTTTACTACATTTCTGTTTTATTTTGTTGAATTTAAAATAAAATAAAAAAGAAGTGCGTCCCTAGGAAGACCTATCATAAATCATGTCCAGGTACTTTTTCCGGGTGATAATTACTGCCACTACTGTTTCTGAGGGTCATAAAAACCACCAGAAATATCGGAGACTATAAGTGACAATGCACCCTATCATAATGTACAAGTACATAAAGCACCTACTTGTAATTCAAAAAAAGCAGACTGGTTGCTAAGTAAAAATATACCTTTTTCGCCGAATTTGCGTAAGCCAACGCGTAAACAACACATTGTTTACAAATTCACTAGGCTGCTAGAAGAAAACGGACATGTGGCTTTAAAGCTCCCACCCTTCCATCCCGATTTAAATCTGATTGAAATGATATGGGCTCAAGTTAAAAACAAAGTAGCGAAGAGAAATGTATTATTTAAATTAAACGTTGTGAAAACTCTGACAGAAGAAAATTTTCGTTGGTTACTGTTAAAGACTGGTTGAAGTGTTGTCAAAATGTTGTTAGTTGAAAATAATTATTTAGAAAACGAGGTTCGAATTGATGTGGCAACAGAAAGTTTAATTATTACAGCTTCTAATAGTAAAACGTCTATTGAGGACGCCTTTCAAAATTTATCGGATTAGGAGCTGTAGGTCGGTTAATCCACTAAAACTTTTTTTGTATGGTTTATTTAAAAAAAAAATTGACGTTTTTTTATAACTTAATTTTTCACAATAAAAGCTTACTGCAAATCTGTTAATTAGTTTCTGAGATATTCACCAAAAGTGCAAAAAATATTCGAGAAATAACGTGGAAAATTTAAAGATACGCCACTGCTTACAAATATCAAGCCGTGAATAACTGTTGCTTTCCGAGAATAGAACGTCATTGATTTTTACCTTTCTGGGAATTACCGACGATTATTCGTACCGACTGTACTTATTATATTAAACTTATTTCACAGTCGATGCTAACATATTTACGTAAACTTACCACTAGAGCCTACCCATTATCATTCATTATAACGAATTAGTTTGTTATATCAAAAATACGAACACCTCATTCGCCGTGACAACGCGTCGCTCAAATATAAAAACCTGCATATAAAATAATGACAACATTATCTTTGCTTTGCTAGTATCGTCGCTATTATCATTTATCGCAGCTCCAACGTAAACGTACCCTAACAAAATACGAAATGCCCATTATTATCAAAAATGCTTTTACTACAGCTTTCACCCCAAACAACATTATAAAATAATTAAAAGGCAGGGTGGTTATGATGAAGAATATAATATTCTAATATTCTTCATCATAACCACCCTGCCTATTAATTATTCAATTTTCTATGATGAATCTGGAGAAATCAAATCAATAGCAACATTATAAAAGGTTTTGAAAAGACAGGTATTTTCCCGTATAACGCGACGTATTTCAAGAAAACGATTTTGAAGCTGCTGAGGTTCTTCGTGTCACAATACCTTCTCCTATAACATCAGAAATTCGTCAAGATGGATGTAGCACTAGACCTGATGATAATTCAGATAATATANCTGAGGTTCTTCGTGTCACAATACCTTCTCCTATAACATCAGAAATTCGTCAAGATGGATGTAGCACTAGACCTGATGATAATTCAGATAATATATCAACCTTAGGTCTCTTAAAGAAACAAAATTTAAACCCTCTTCCAACACCAGACATACAACATTCTACAACTTCTGGTGATCCAGATCCTAAAATATTACAGAAGAAAGACGAATCTCCAATACATGAATGAAACTATTGTGTAATTGTGTACCAGTTTCATATGTTTCACCTATTTCTCAAGCAATTTCAAAAGACAAAAATATGCAAAGGAAGAAATGACGTGTAGAAGGATTCAAACTAGTTCGTCCTACAAAAATCAAATTGAAGAAAAAACTAAAATTCTCAAAGCAACATCAGTAAAGAAAACTGACAATGAGTAAAAATAATAAAATTGAAGAAAAATCTGAAAAGAAAAAGTGCAGAAAAGCAGTTAGAAAAAAAGTGTATCCAGTACATCACACAAAACGATTAAGGAGTTGGTAAACATTTGCGAATCACCAAAAGACGACAAAAATGTTTGCTGCATATTTTGCAATGAAACTTTTGGTGACACTTACCACAAAGATTAGATAAAGTGAGTATGATATGTAATTTCTGGGTCCATGAAATCTGAAGCGATTTAAATCCTCTATAATAATGTCTCACTTGTCTCTTATTGGGGGGAAAGTGAGTTTTTTGGTAAATGTTTTCTAATTTAATATTTTGTTATAAAAAAATGCCTGTTTTATTTCTTTTTTTGTGTAGATACGTTCGTTAATAATTAAATTTAAACTTGTTTGGTATAATTTTGTTTTATCATTAAAACCTTACAAATTGTGGCCTGTTTTAACTTAACATGACTCACTTACCCCACTCTCTCCTATATTAAATATGTTTACTCCAGCAAAATGTGTTTTATTAAAAATAACGTAATACTCATTAATATAAACCTGTTGTCATAAAATTTATGACACGCGCCCACTCGAGGGTTAAAGAAGAGTATAAGAATAACATAAACTATTAAAAAATAAAAAAAATCATTTATACCTATGTTGCTTGTAGTTTTTTCAAGATAGGCAAGCGGTCCTTGAAGGACAGCTCCTGGTCCTTGTTGAGCAAATGGACCTCTAGGCCCACCCAAGCCTTGCTGTTGCATGAATAACGCCTGTTGAGGTGAAACCATCCCTGGACCAACAGCGCCACCCATACCAGGGGGCACCTACAACAATAAAAAAAGAAAAAAAAACTACTAATAAAAAAAGAAATTTAAAGAAAATAAATAAAAACACCCTTTAATTTGTACTTGAAACATTTTTTTTATTTGAAAACGCTCTTAACACGTCCCAAATACAAAAATTTTTAAATTCAAACTTGTTAATAATCCTTCTTTTTTCTCTAACGTTTCCTACAAGGCACAATTGAGCAAATAATTACTACTAAATCATTTAAAATAATAATAACCCTGAGAAAAAATAAAAAACGTAAATAAAAACGTTTTTTAAAATAACTTAAAAATAATAACAGAATAAAAGTTCCCCAAAAAATATAATAAATTCGTGTTTCATCGCCGATCTACCTGCATCTGTTGAAATTGTTGCATCTGCTGTTGTTGTTGTTGCATTTGTTGTAATTGCTGTTGTTGTTGGAGCTGCTGTTGTTGCTGTTGAAGTTGTTGTTGCATCAAATTTTGCATCCCAGCCATCGAATTAGGCGTTTGATTTCCAGGAATGTTTGGAATCGGGGATGGTGGAACAGAACCTCCATTGTTAACTAAACCGGGTGTTGAAGATCCTTGAGCAGGACTTTTTGAAAAGCTTTGCAAATCAGCCAATAAATTCTGCCAAATAGCGATTTTTTCATAATGCCGTTTAAGAAATTCTTCTTTTCTCGCCAATTCTAACCTCAATTCGCTCACATCTTCTTTTACAATCATCTCTGGCTTTAGAACGGATAAAAGAAAACGTTTTTGTAAGAAAAACGCTTCCATTTGTCGTGCTAAATCGATGAATCTATGCGTGGTTTGCTCAACTTCAACCCGAATCTCCTCCTTATCCGTACTTTGAACGGCTTCTTCTTTCGTCAGGACATTTAAGCAATGCTAAATAATTAAAACAAAAAATTATTTTTATTAAACAAGAGTATTTTTAAAGATGTACTTACTTGAAAGGCTTCTTCAAATTCATCTACAAGATTTCCACTGCTGTTGGTCGGTGTTGCCATTGCTGATACGGGTGGTGACGCTTCTTTCATTGAAACTGCTTGATAACATTTGTCGTTATCGCTGTTTCGTAATCTCGCCTATCGAGTGAAAATCAACAGGAACGCGGTCCTTTATAAAGATTTGTGGGGCGTAAAAACGACAAAAATGTTATCGGAGACGGAAAATGACGCTTCTTCTGCCACAAGAAACGTCAATATGGCGGATTGTAGGAGTACCAACTTTAGTCTACGAAAAAAATAAGAATTAGGAATTAATTAATTAATTATTAAATGTATATATAAATAAACATAATAATCGATTTTTTTAATAAACTACATTAAATTAAATGGTTATAATTAAAAATTTAAACTGTGAAAAAAACGAGACTGACAAAAAAGAAATTGATGTTTTGTGTTACCAACCTTAGATTATAGAAATATGTATATTGTTGAAAAAAACTTTAGGATAACTTTGAAAATATAAATGTTTAAATAAAATCACCAAAATAAAAAAGGAAATTTAGTGAACATTTCCTTAACATCTTGTATACAGTATTCATTTTTAACCTTTGCTTTTCATTAACATAACAAAAGTCTAAAAGTGGGTCTCTAAAACGTTATGGAAAACTTTCCAAAGTTAATTTTATTATTTAGTGGAAAAAGAAAATCAGGAAAAGACTTTATAACCGATAAACTAAAAGATATGTAAGTTAAATCACCAATAAAACAATAATACTAAAGATTAAAACAAAACTTAAAATAATAGATTAGGTGATCAATGTGAAATATTAAAAATATCAGCACCGATTAAAGAATACTTTGCAAAATCCCTTAATTTAGACTTAAATCTATTAATGTCTGAAAAACCCAATAAAGAAGAGGTTAGATTAGAAATGATTAAATGGAGTGAGATGAAAAGATCGGAAAATCCTGGTTGTTTTTGTGAAATAACTTGTAATAAGGGTAACTATTCTAAAATAGAATTAATCAATAACAATTTATTGTTTTAACTTTTCTTTTTAAAGCAAAACCTGTAGAAATTTGGATTGTAAGTGATATTCGAAGAAAAACAGATATTTCTTGGTTCTACGATACATACCAAAACAAAGTAAAAACTATACGAATATCCACAGATTTAGATATTAGAGAAAAACGAGGATTTCAATTTGAAAAAGGAATTGATGATGCAGAATCTGAATGTGATTTAGATCAATATAAAAATTGGGATCTCCATGTTACCAATAATGATTCAATTACTTGTGAGAAATCTATAAAAGAAATTGTAGAATTAATTAACATTAATATTTTATAATTAATTTAATATTTAAATAAAATTGGTTATGGAAATATTTTTTGACATTTGACATATCTATACTAGTTACATAACCCCAAAAAGTTGATAACCAACCTACTTTTTATATATCCATCCTCGTCTTACACACACACTTTAATGCATTTTGAAGTTAGTCTAGTATTAATCGATTTAATTTTAGTTCACTTCGAGATCTGACTCGAATTGAAGCAAAATTTTATTTTTTCGTGAAAAAAACTTTGCAATTTTATTAAAATATGGCAGGGGGAAGTGCGGATGCCGCCGAAGAAGCGAAATTGAAAGGGATGGGCAAGATTTTTAACTCTGTAACCAACAAAGGAAGGGCTAATGTAAGAATCGAACTTTAACCTCAAAAAAAAATCCTTTTTTGGATATTTTCGGTTTGACTTAAACCGATTATTTTAGGTTGCGATGGCTACTTATGGTAGTGTTGGTCTTTTAATAGCTTATTTTATGTTGAAACCGAAGAAAGCTAAGTGATTATCTTAAAATTATGTAATTAAAAAAAAAATGTAGTGTAATAAAATATTGTAAGAAACTCGGTATTTGTAGTTTTAATTTTATACAGTTGGAGTATAAATAACGAAAAGGAGATTAAAAAGTTAATTCAGGAAAAATTATTTTAGCATAACCTAAAAGTTTATCTGACTTTGTTTTAGTGCCATCTATAGTGTGAAATAGGAACTATTTTAAATAAAATGTTAAAATTATTAATATTAATAATTAGGATTTAGCATAATAAATATCTTTTTAATTATAAAGTAATTATCCTATCATTAAACATTGTAGCTTCACACTTAAATTCCATAAATTAATCATTCTTCAAAATTGTTCCATTGCAATTTCACGAAAGTAAAATTGTACAGCTGAAAACTGAGGTAAATAGCCCCATGCTTTGTGAATTGCCGGTGATTTCCCGTGGGGCTACCCTTATCTAACCTATGCCACCCCAAAGAACGGAAACAGGCTTACAAGTTAGAAAAATTGTTATAAAATGTCATAAGGAGGATCGTTCTATACGTCAAAAAGCTAAAATAGTTGCCAAAAGTGCATCTACTATTCAGTACATAATTAAAAAGTTTGTAGATACCGCAAATATTGGAAGGTACCACGTAAAGGCCGTCCAAAATTGCTAATTGCAGGAGATGAACGAAGCATTAGAGAAAAAATGATCGCAAATCCTGGGACAAGCGCCCCAAAGATAGCAGTAAATCTTCAAAATCAAGTTAATAAAACTAAGGGCAGAAACTGTGACAGGAGTTTTGCTATCTGCCGGCTATAACAGACGAGAACCGCGAAAGAAACCCTACATTAGCGACGTGAATAGAAAGAAACGTATTGAATTTGCAAAAAAGTACAAAGAAAAGGATATGGATATTTGGAAAAGGGTGATGTTTACAATCGAGTCAAAATACAACATTTTTGGATGTGATGGTAGAGGTAAAATTTGGAGGAAAGCTGGTACAGTGCTAGATTTAAAAAATCTTCTACCAGCAGTAAAGCATGGGAGTGGATCTACTATGGTGTGGAGATCTATGGCTGCTTCAGGAGTTGGGAGTTTAGTTTTTATCGATAATATAATGGATAAATGGCAATATTTAAATATTTTAAAGGTCAATTTAAAACAAAATGCTATACAATACAATTGAGTATTGGAAACAGTTAGATCTTCCAACAGGATCAAGACCCAAAACATAGGGCGAATGTAGTATATGTACGGCTTTTATATAATGTGCCTAAGCAGCTACATTCTCCACCACAGTCACCAGATATTAACCCCATAGAACATGTGTGGGACTATATGGAAAAAGCAATTAGAAAACACAACGTTGGTAGTTAAGAATCGTTAAAAGTTGCATTGTAAGCAGAATGGAAAAAAATTCGATTTCTTATACTGAAAAGTTTATGCAATTAATGCCGAGAAGATTGAAAGATGTACTAAAAGCGAATGCGAATGCGAAAACGAAAGCGTAGTACTACTACGAAGTAGTAGTACTACGAAGTAGTAGTACTACGCAGATTTAATTTAATATGGACTCGTAAAAAAATCTGAAAGGTTCAAAAATTGTCATCTCCGAATTTTTATCGGTTAAGCGCTCAAATGGTAGGTCAGATTGTGCAGGAATATGTCTGGCATGGATGACTCCGACTTGAGGCGTGATCTCGCTTGTTTACCTCTTCATAACATCTATCATATGAATGATATTAATCAAAAAGTAAACTTCTTAAACTCTCATATGTTGATACTGTTGAATCTATATGCACCGGTGCGTCCTCTTAGGACTACTAAGCCTTTTACTCCATGGATAACGCCCAATATTTGGTTCATGATGAAGCTCAGAGAACAGGCTCTGGGTAAATTTAGGAGAACAAATATGCCCCCTCATTTCAATTACTACAAATCTTTGAGAAATTTAGAATACGTCGTGAAAAAAAAACCTATTTAAATAGCACATTTAAAAATATGGACGGGCAGAGTAGTTGGAGGCTGTTAAGTAGGTTGAACATCGGGAAAAAGTCCAAGCCAATTATTCCTGCACGCCTGCATGATGTGAATGAAATTAATGATCATTTCTTAAAATCTGTCGGCCATACTGGTGTAGATACTGCTTTACTTACGTTTTATAATACAAATACTCTTTTTGCTGAATCCCACGATTGGTTTTCTTTTAAAACAGTTGATACTCCTACGATAATAAGTGCATTAAACGGAATCAAGTCGACAGCTGCTGGAGCCGATGAAGTAAATATCATATTTATCAAAAAATGCGTTCCGGACTTATTGCCATACATGCTCCTATATTACTATATTGCTCCTGCGTTGAGCAATCAGTATTTCCCAATGCCTGGAAGTCTGCTGTTATAATGCCGTTACCAAAAAAAGTGAATCAGGATTCTTCCAGTTCTTTCCAAAGTCTTGGAAAAGTGTATGGAGGTTCAGCTGCGTACATATATGGATGAACACAATATGCTGCCTCTGTTCCAATCCGGTTTTCGACCTAGTTATAGTTGTACCACTGCCTTATTAAACGTCACTGATGATCTCTTGACGGCTCGAGATGATGGTCAGAGTGAAGTGGTGTGCTCCTGAATTACTGCAAGGCTTTTGGTTGACAAAGTCAACCACCTATATTCCTCTTGCATTATGGTGCTAACAGAATTTTTTAATCAAAATTATACAAACCGGTGGATTGGAAGAGGTTCAGCAGTTCCTTGGCCAGCAGGGTCACCAGACTTTAATCCCTTAGATTACTTTTTATGGGGAAGATTGAAAAGTTTAGTTTATGCAGAAAAATTAAAAACAGAGAACAACTAGTAGCTAGAATTATGGATGCTGCAGAAACTATTCGTGCTGATCCTGAGACTGTTAGCAGAGCTACCACTTTAATTCTAAGAAAAGCTAGACTATGTATACAGCAACTGGGTGGACATTTAGAACAATTAATTCAATAAAGTTGTTTCGTTTTAAATGGTCTACTACTACTTATTTAAAATTTCAAATGCTTGTAGCTCGGTTACGATAGCGTTTTGGGTGTATGTTCATTAGACATTTTTGACTTGAAATCACCCCAGCAACACATTTTCAAGCTATGGCAGTCACGTCGTGGGACACCTGTATATTACAACTCAAAATTGTAACGCCTTTTCCATATTCCGTTTTCCTGAACACCTCTGTATATGTAGCGGACTTTCTTTCAAAGCACCCCAACAAGTTTTCGTCATTTTTGGTCATCGTCCATGTTTCTGACGCATATGTCAGGACTGGTCTTATAAGCGTTTTGTTGGTAACTAACACTAAACCTAAAATTAGAATCATTCGGGTTTAGCCTTCTGAAGACCCGAATGTTTCTAGTTCTAGGTCTAGTGATAGTTCTAGTTTTACATCTCTATAGACGGCTAAACCCGAATGTTTCTAGTTTAGTATTAGTTCTAGTTTTACAATAGCATTGTTACTATGTAGAACTGACACTATACCTAGAACTAGAATCATTTGGATTTAGCCGCACGTCTCTAAAGACGGCTAAGCCCGAATGGTTCTAGTTCTAGGTATAGTGTTAGTTCTAGTTTTAAACTTGCAGTGTCACTCGAACTAACATTAGACTTAGAATAGAAACAATTGGGTTTAGCCATACGTCTTTTAAGACGGCTAAACCCGAATGATTCTAGTTCTTGGTCTAGCGCTGCACAACAATTAAAACTAGAACTATCACTACATCTAGAACTAGAATGTTTCTAGGTGTAGTGTTAGTTCTAGTTTTAGTTCAGTAAAAATATACAACATAGTGATATTTTATGGTAACTAGCGCTACCTACCACTTACCAGCCGTCTTAAGAGAGGTACAACATTCTAGGTCTAGTGTTAGTTCTGAACGGATCTAGTAATTTCATCTTCATAAAGTCATATTTTAAGATTCTCCGAAATGTTAATACTCCCTACTTTTTGTATTCTTCCTGATTGATGTTGTCATCTTTCTGTACTTCATTCCATACTTATGATTGACTTCGCATCTCTTCCCTATATAATAGTCCTGTAACAGTCGTTTTTCTGATTATTTATATCTTATCATCTCTTATCAATACTCCCCATTATTTTTATTTAACCTTTTCTGCATTACCTAAATTTTGGGGCTTTAAAAAATCTTTCCTAATCAATAATTTTAATAATTTTAAATGTATTGATTAAATTTCTTACAAAATAACTTATAAACATGAAAAAATTACATCTGAACACATTAAATTTGAGCACCTTCTAAGACATCTTCAGCTTCATCCCTTAAATTTTCGATTTTTTCCAATAAAAGTAACTAAAAACAACAAATAAATATAAATAACAATAATTTTTCTAACTACCTTGGCTGCAGCAATTAATTGATTCGCCAATTTTCTACTCATATGTTCAACACTTTCAATTAATTCCCCAACGTTAGCTTTAGCAAGCGAAGCAAGCGATCGATATCCGGCATCATATAATTGCTTGGCTCTACATTGTTTAACTGACGGCAATTCCATAAGCGGAAGTAGTTCTTTAATGCAACAATGTTGTAAACGTTCGGTCATCCCTTTTAAAAGATATGCAAAGTACCAAAACTCTTTTAATTCTGTACAGAAATTTACGACATTTGACGAAAAGGAAGCGGCGGATGTCATTAAGTTTTGAGCTAATCCCCTTGGAACATCGTATTTTTCGGATACTTCAAATATTGAGTTTCCGTTCCATAAATCGTAGAGAATTAATGTTACATAAAATCGTTTTAAAACACGTTCAAGAATCGACTAAAAATACAATTAAAAAATTTCTACGTTGAGTTGAGAGTAAGTTGACTTACTTTTATTGGTTGATTATTTAATAACCTCACCGCTGTGGATTCGGTTAACCCGATTATATTCGCTGTATGCAACTCGTTTTTAGTTAGTTTCGTGTACTACAAAAAATTTTTTTTGAATAAATTCATAAATTATTGTTTTCTTACAAATCTGTAATATCTTGATTTTGAAAGATTAATTTGATCCGCAATATCATAAGGGGTCACTAAATATAGTAAATGAAGGCAGTTTAATAAAACTAAACTCGCTTGTGCTTGAAGTAAATCTTCGTAGAGTAAATGAGCTTTCGTTAATTCTAAACCACCTGAATATAATTTTAAGTTAAAATTTTTTATTAATTATTTATTTTTTACCTTTTATTGCTGCTAATCCTAATTGACTTATAATTAATTTACTATCGTTACGTAATGTAATTTTAGTTTTTTTTGTACTTGTATCATTTAAAGTTTCACTTAATAATGTTGATTCCTAAAATAAAATTTTATTTTATTCATTTACTCTTTTTTTTCAAAGCTTTTTTACCACTGTGTTATTAAACCTTAAAGATAATTCTTTACTTGAATTGAAATTGCAACCAACGCCTTTTTCTTCAATCTTCAAAGCGCCCAGTTTAAATAATTCCGATAACGATTTATCAACGAGTAATTTTAATTTAACGTTAAGTCGATTTTCTTGAACAAACAACAACGATTTTTTAACAATTTCAAGTAAATCTTTTCGAGTATTCGCTGCGTTTAAACAAATCATACTTAATAATAATTGTCTAAAAAAACAATTTATAAAAACGAAAAAAAAAGAATTAAAATAATTTTACTTCAACCCTTTGCAATCGTTTTCGTGCATAGCCGATAAAGCTTGGTCCATTGGCGCATTTAGCATACCCCTTACTTTCGGTAAATCAGCCATGGAACAAATTAAAATGCTCTCCCCCTCGGTTCCAAATCCTGTTCTTCCAGCTCGTCCCACCATTTGTTTGTAACGTGATAACGTGATGAATTCTTTAGCGATGTACGGTTGGCGTAGAATAACGCGTTTCGCGGGTAAATTAACCCCCGCGGCTAAAGTGGATGTGCAACAAATCACGCTTAATGTTCCATCTCGAAAACTATCCTCGATTAATTTACGTTCACCTGATGTTAAGCCTAAAATTAAAACGAAATTATTCTTTATTATGTAAGAATTCAATAATAAGAAATAAAAATTAGAACCTGAGTGATGATAAGCGATTCCATAATCAATGGACTTTTCTAATATTTTACATAAATCGCCGGATTCGGTTTTAAGATTCTTTTTAAGCAATTTTTTATCATCCGTTTTGTTAGTTTTTAGTTTTCTGAAAGATGAATCGATTAAATTAACGCAATGCAAATTAAACATTAAAATTGTTATAATAAAGAAAAAAAATTACGCTGGTAAAACTCTGCATAATAACCAGGCGACATTTTCGCAATTTTTCTTTGTCGAACAAAAAATTAAACAGGAATCGGCTGGAATAACTTCCATAACTAAACCACCTAGACGATCCGGGTCTATTTTTGATAATTTATCACTGTACTAAATTGAAAAAAATAAAATAAAAAATAAAATTGTAAAATAAAATAAAAAATAAAATTGTAAAATAAAATAAAAAATAAAGTTATAAAATAACATAAAAAATAAAATTGTAAAATAAATTGTAAACTAAAACTAGGAATAATCGGGTTTAGCCGTCTTAATAGACGTATGATTCGTATAGAACCGATAAAAATAGCAATTTTACTATCATAATTGGTGATGAGGGCCTCAGGATATATAATTCGTTCAAGAAAGATGAAGAAAAGACTCTAGCAAGTGTGTTAATATAATTTGAAGAATATTTTATTCCAAAAAAGAACTTAGTAGTACAAACATTCAAATTTAATCATTTGCACCAAAAGGAGGATCAAGGAATAGAATCATAATATATAATAGAGCTTCGTACAGAACCCGCCTTTGTGAATTCAAGTGTGTTAATGAAAAATGTAATAAATCATATGAAAATAGAATGATAAGGGATAAATTGGTTGTCAGTATTTATGACAAGAATATTCAACAAAGAATGTTACGAGAAGGAGATATTTCTTTGGAAACAATCCAGAATTATCCAGGCTTAAATCCTTCGACGGAAACAAACAAAACAAAGAAAATAGAGTGCAAATTTTGTGGATTCGAACATGCAACAAGGAAATGTACCGCATTCGGCCAGATATGTGCAAATTGTCAATGACACAACAATTTTGCCAAAGTTTGCAAAAAAGACAAGCAATCTCAAGTAACAACATTAATAAGGATTTTAGACCAGCGAAGGAAATAAAAAAAATAAATTAAATTCAAGAAGAAAACAATGAAGAAGAGATTTTTATAATTAGAAGTGAAGAAAGAAAAATGCTAGAAGAAGAGATGTTTATTTACTGTGTAGCAAAAAAGAAAGAAAATGTAAATGGGAATTCGGTACGAATAAAATGGGGCACAATGGTCACAGTAGATTCGGATTGCAAAGTTGAACTGGAAAAACTTAGAAAAATGAGATTCTCACAAGTTCGCCAACAATCGGATGAAATAGTTACTAAAGTTAGTATGACAACGAATTAAAAATGAACGCCACAAACAAGAATGGGATAACGAACAATGGAAATTGAGTAAATTATTAGAACTTCAAGCACCATATTGTGATTCTTTAAGGAATTTAGGATTAGTACATGCCCAAGCGATCATCGAAGAAGCGAGAGAGGAAGTAATTAAAGAATATAAAGACTTTGGTGGATAGGTGTAAAGAAAGAGGGCGTAAAGCCGTTAAGAAATTACATAAAGAAGAAGAAGAAGAAATAGAAAAAGAGAAACTAAAAGAACTGGGTAATAAAAAACGTGAACCAAAAAAAAATGAATAGTCCGATAAGGAAGAAAAAAAAAGGGACAAAAGTGTGAACAATATAAAGAAGATAATCAAGAAATAATTGATATTTCTGAAACTGATGAAGATGTTGCGTATAAAGATGTTGTGAGGAAACGATCTAAAAAACGTGACCATAAAGCTGCTATAAAACTTCATAAAAAGCAATAAGAGAAAGAACAACGGAAGCAAAAAGCATTTGAGGCGAGGAGGAAACGAAGTACAACGGAAGCGATAAGGAAAAGAAACAAAAGTCCGTTTAGAAAGAAAAAATAGAGGAAAAAGTATTGATGGAAGTATACAAATGTTAACATATTTATGTTTTTAGAAGGTTTGGAGCGCCGGATATACTTATTTCAGGTAATGTTCCGTTTAATTATGGTTTAATTTATGAAAATATTTGCTAATAATTGGAATTTTAAAAACGAGTTTTCCAGTCCATATAACAGTCGATCAAATGGCTTAGCAGAAAAAGCTGTTGGAATTATAAAAAATATGTTAAAAGTAAAACATGAATTTTTAATTGCTTTAGTCGAGTATAGAAATACTCGGCTAAAATAATATGTAGAAATGTGGCAAAGGATACAGTTAAGGTTTTCCCCTGCACAATTATTATTAAACAGAAAAATTAAAACCAGGATGCCAACTATAAACACAGATTTAGAACCAAAAATAATAAATAAAGAACTAACAGAAAAGAAAATGAAAGAGTTAAAACCACTAGATGTTAATCTGAAGAAACAGAAAATTTCTAATAAATTAAATTTCAAATTTAAAAATAAAAATTCACTAGAAAATTCAATAATTTATGATGATTTATATACCGGATGTTTCATAATATATGCGCAGGACTTCAGGATGTGATAGCTTGTCCAAAAATTTGTGAAAAAGTTTCTATCAACTTACCCAATACAAACAAATCAAAAATTATGTTAAAATGCCGTTATAGTTCGATATACGGATAGTACTGTTTGAATTTGCAAGGGTGTGCTAATTAACGTGCCAGCAGTGTATTATTATAATTTAAAATAAGATTAGAAGGCTGTTCTCGTCGTGATGGCATAGTGACGAGACAACAAAAAGAAAAGCAGATATAGTCCTTCAGCGAAAAGAAGTCCACTGCGTCATTAATTTATGGGGTTATAATAGACTTGTATTAACTTTTTGCGTCTCTTTTTTTACGTGTATTAAACAAAGGAAATGATTTAACGTACTTCTTCGGCATCCGCAACTAGAAATGTCCTACTAACAATTTGAGTTAAAAAGAGAAGCACATCATTACTAAACAAAGATAAAGTTAATATAGGCATGTCATTTCATACATCAGTATATGAAGTAGAAATATGATCGGAAGTTCGCATGACGGATATGAATTTAAAAGTCATAAACTTCACCTTTCATAGCTGTCACGCGTGTTTGGTACTGTTTTCTTTAGGTTTCATGTGTTTAAAAGCGATTTTTAATTTCGTAAGTGAGTAAAATTAGTTCTTTTCAGAACTCTCGTACAAATTTTGCTACAGTGTGTTGAAATATCGTACATTGACGTTAGAAACTATGTCTTTGCCAGGAGCAACGTTAAGTGCTCAAAGCCAACACCTTGTGCTCAATTTGTTGAATTACTTTGAAGCGGAAAAGCGAAATGGTGGACCTTTGATAAATCTGAACGGTATTCATGAGGGAAAGAAGATATAATTTTAAAAATATTGTTTTAACTTATTGTTTTACAGAGGGTTGCCAATGCCTTGCAAATCTCAAAAAAAACTGTTCAGCGAATTAAAAGTCGCGCAGCAGTAAATCCAGTATTATCTACTCCTGGAAAGAAACGTCCTAGGAAGAAACCAAAAACTCAAGATTTGCACGAGTCTAATAAAATGGCCATTCGAGATACAATTTATTCCATGTACAAGCGTAGTAAGTTGTGTTGAATTGCAAATTAGAGTAGCTAGTACATTTTTTATAATCATTGCAGAAGAACAGGTAACACTTGGCTCTCTAAAGTTGGAGATAGAGAAAAGTAACATCGTACTGGGTAAAACAGGTTTATCTAAAGTTTTAAATGAAATAGGATTTCATTATAAAGCAGACTCAAATCGAAAAGCATTAATGGAGAAAACTCACATTGCTGACCTACCGCTTACATTTTTAAGAAAATATGTCGAAAATATGAATTCTTTGAAAAATCAAGTGGTTTTCTTAGACGAAACTTGGATATTTTCGAAGGGAACCTGTCGAAAATCATGGCAGGATGAAGATGTGAAGAGCATTAGAAAATCAGAAGGTTATGATGGCAAACGTTTCATCATCGTACATGCAGTGTCTTCAGCTGGATTCGTACAAAACGCCAGTTTAATATTTACAAGTAAGTCGAAGAGTGGCGATTATCATGGAGATATGAATGGTAATATATTCATAAGGTCGATACAGGAATCCTTATTGCCTAACTTAGAAGACCCATCTCTTATTGTTATGGATAATGCATCATACCACTCAACGTTGCTTGAAAATATTCCATCATCTGCCTGGACAAAAGCGAATATTGCCGAATATCTAAGAAAAAATCAGATAACATTCGATTGCAATTTGTTTAAAAGTGATTCTCTAGCTAAATCGTATTAGAAAGAAAAAAAGTATTAGGCAGATGAAATAATAAAAAGTGCTGGGCATGAAGTTATACGCCTTCTTCCCTATCATTGTGAATTTAATGCAATAGAGATGATATAGGCTCATACTAAGAAGTATTATGACCAGCACATGGGACGGGATGGTTACGGTGACGATAAAGTGCGTAATATGTGGGAAGGAGCATTAAACAATTGCACCAAAAAAATCTGGGAAAACTGTGTTCGTCACACCGAAAAAATTATTGTTGACTGGTATGAGCGTGAAAAGCTATTAGACATTGCTGTTGACGAACTACTAATAAGGAGGTTCTGATTCAACCAGCAGCGACTCCGAAGATTAAATAAATTAAAAATTTAGAATCTTAGATGTATTTAACAAATGAGAATATTGTAAAAAAAATTGTTAAATTTATAATAAACTATTTATTTTATCCCCATCTGTTTCAATTAGATATTAAAGTAAAAGATTGTATTATAATATATAATAATAAATTATAGTTTAATAATTAATAGTTTTCGATCGATGTATTATATCGAAATATAATTAATAACGGGAAGTTAGATAACCAAACACACTTCACTACGTGATTTAAAACTATATAAAGATTATGAATAGTCTTGATTTGATCCTGCAGTACCGATTTGATTCCTACGGCGAAAATTGATGACGCAATGGACTTCTTTCGACGGATGGACTATAGAGAACCCTAGTTAATATAGTCCGTCCGTCGAAAGAAGTCCACTGCGTCATTAATTTATGGGGTTATAATGGACTTGTATAATATATTGTTTTCTTTGTTTAATACACGTAAAAAAAGAGACGCAAAAAGTTAATACAAGTCTATTATAACCTCATAAATTAATGACGCAGTGGACTTCTTTCGACGGACGGACTATAGACTGTCTAACGATAAGTCTGACGTCACAGAGATGGGCGGAGCTTATAACGATTTCAAACAATTTCGTTGCTAACCACAGATGCTAAGGATAAACCGCCAAAAAATGTCATTTAAAATGTCACGTTTAGTTTATTTTATTTTAACGCTAAATGAAAAATTGCATATAGCAGTTTACCGTTAGCAACACAGTTAGCAATGAAAATGTTTGGAGTCGGTATAAGCTCCGCCCATCACTGTAACGTCAAGGCTTAGGTTGTCTATTGAATATTAAAAAATGTATTAAAAAACACAAGACACTGATATTGTTCTATCAATGCCATCAGATTTGGCGGGATCACAATCAGTGATTAATGCTTAATACCAGATTGTACTGCCTGAATGGCAATTCTGGATCAAAAACGAAAATTCTCTGCTTCAGGCAGATATTTGCATGTTCACAGATGGATCAAAAACGCCGGAAGGAGCCGGGGCAGGAGTATACTGCCAGACATTTCGGATTAAGCAAGCTTACAGCCTGAGTATGTACTGTACTGTATTCCATACGGAAGTAATTGCTATTGATATGNTTCAGCTCTTCTAACATACTCCATGTAATTGTGATGGATTAGATACTTTGCACGACTCCTTAGAATTGAAAAAGTAAGGTAGTCAAGTCGGTTTCTAAAACGCTTCCATCTACAGTGCGCCCTCCTTTTCTCTCGAATTACTTTAATGGTACTGTATGAAAACCAACTGGGAAAACCCAAAAAATTTTGTTGCACTCATTTCCTAAAGACGGTTTTACCACCCCCAAACGAACAAAATTCGCCACAAGTGAACGCAAATGTGCTCCGCGTATCTGACTACTGCTAATTGCATATAAAATTACCCTCTACAAGATAGCGTGGCCAGATTTTGTTGCACTCATTTCCTAAAGTCGGTTTTACCACCTCCAAACGAACAAAATTCGCCACAAGTGAACGCAAATGTGCTCCTCGTATCTGACTACTGCTAATTGCATATAAAATTACCCTCTACAAGATAGCGTGGCCAGATTTTGTTGCACTCATTTCCTAAAGACGGTTTTACCCCCCCAAACGAACAAAATTCGCCACAAGTGAACGCAAATGTGCTCCGCGTATCTGACTACTGCTAATTGTATATAAAATTACCCTCTACAAGATAGCGTGGCCAGATTTTGTTGCACTCATTTCCTAAAGACGGTTTTCCTACCCCCAAACAAAAAAAATTCGCCACAAGTAAACGTAAATGTGTTCCGCGTATCTGACTACTGCTAATTGCAGATAAAATTACCCTCTACAAGATAGCGTGGCCAGATTTTGTTGCACTCATTTCCTAAAGACGGTTTTCCCGTGAATCAAGAAAAACACGTGATTTGTGCAGAAGTTAAGTAAGTAAAGTAAAACCTAATATACGAGTATGAAACAAATAATATCCAAGGAATAGCTGTAATTTGTCAATAGAGACAAAATTAGCTAATAAAATAAAGCACAATAAATAAAAATCGAAATAATGTAAAACATACCACAGAAACAAGATAAAAGTTTACGATGCCGATGGATAGATGCGAGACAGCGCACAACGATAATAAGTTTATTATGACCTGATCTGTTTGGTAATTAAACAATTCATTGTCAGTGTTTCTTAATTTCGAACAGTTCCAGGTCCATTTTAAAATCTCTATCACATTTGTGAAAGAGTTCCATGTCCTCATATTTAAAGTAATCAAAATTAAAATAATTTCAGATACAATTTTAAGTAGTCAGATCAGCGGAGCACATTTGTGTTTACTTGTGGCGAATTTTTTTCGTTTGGGTGTGGTAAAACCGTCTTTAGGAAATGAGTGCAACAAAATCTGGCCTCGCTATCTTGTAAAAGGTAATTTTATTTGCAATTAGCAGTAGTCAGATACGCGGAGCACATTTGCGTTTACTTGTGGCGAATTTTTTTCGTTTGGGGGTGGCAAAACCGTCTTTAGGAAATGAGTGCAACAAAATCTGCCCACGCTATCTTGTAGAGGGTAATTTTATGTACAGTTAGCAGTAGTCAAATAAGCGGAACACTTTTGCGTTTACTTGTGGCGAATTTTTTTCGTTTAGGGGGTGGCTAAAAGCGTCCTTAGGAAATGACTACAAGAAAATCTGGGCACGCTATATCATAGGGAACATTATAGGTATATTTTACAGTCATCAGATCCGCAGAGTACAATCTCGTTTACACGTGAGGATTTTTTTTCTTGGGGGTGGCTAAAAGCGTCTTTAGGAAATGACCGCAACAAAATCTGACCACTCTATTTCATAAGGGGTAGTTTTAGATACACTTTACAGTAGTCAGATTCGCGGAGCACATTCTCGTTTACGTGGGGTTATACTTTTTATTTTACCTAAAAATGATCGTGTAAAACCGACTTTAGCCTATACTCGGATGTCTTCGGTAAAACGGGTTGCTATGTTTGGCGTGGTGTTTTCACATCGGTTAGATCTTTGAGGTCACGGTGCCTACCCGATATGTAATTTACATAAACGTAATGTAATTTCTAAATCTAGTTTAGTTGTAGTTACAAACCCCAAATTCTTTCTTTATTGCACCAATAAACATTTCATCATCATCAGCAGCACTCCAATTAATTTTAGCAATGTTATTCTCACATTGAATANCTGCTTCAGGCAGATATTTGCATGTTCACAGATGGATCAAAAACGCCGGAAGGAGCCGGGGCAGGAGTATACTGCCAGACATTTCGGATTAAGCACGCTTACAGCCTGGGTATGCACTGTACTGTATTCCAGACGGAAGTAGAGAGAGGAGTGCTGGCTATTGCTGAGTAGGTAGCAGTTGGTGTATCATTTGCGTTGGCCAAGCATAGAATTGGACTGTGGGCTGAAGAGAGACTTCGCCTACTGTGGACCAGTTCTCCTGGAATGACACATGCTAAGTTGTTTATTAACATAGCCACTGTCAAACCCGGGAATATTTTAGGACTTGCTCATAGCAGTATTAAAGTTCTAATGGGTGTCTTTACTGGACACTGCTGATTGATAACAACTTGTTGGGACTAGCCGACTATGTGTGGAGGACGAAGAATCGTATTTTTCGGATTTTCGGATTTTTGGGTGGCAGTTTATTTCCCCAAAGGATTTGAATGCCTTTTCACCAAGCAAGATATTGAGCATTAGACTGCATGGTGAAATTTGATAACTATCTAACTATGTTANTCTGCTTCAGGCAGATATTTGCATGTTCACAGATGGATCAAAAACGCCGGAAGGAGCCGGGGCAGGAGTATACTGCCAGACATTTCGGATTAAGCAAGCTTACAGCCTGAGTATGTACTGTACTGTATTCCATACGGAAGTAATTGCTATTGATATGGGTGTCAAAACCCATCCTTTTTGAGAGAGGGGTGCTGGCTACTCAGTGTGGGCTGAAGAGAGACTTCGCCTACTGTGGACCAGTTCTCCTGGAATGACACATGCTAAGTTGTTTATTAAGCCTCTGTTAGGCGCGCGTGTATCCAGCAGATACATGCATAAAATTGCTTGCCGTCTGTTTAGTGATCGATATCTTTACAACCGATCGATGAAAAAATTTGCGGTAAACTTTGTTATAATCACTGATCATTTCTACTATATTAACATGAATTTGAAAATTTTTGGCTCCTCAGTTCTATTTTTATGGCGAGTTAAACATAAAAAAACACAGATTTCCGTACATACCGTCACTTTATGAATTTTTTTTATCAAATTTTTATCAAATTTATCAACAGATGATAGCCTTAATAATTACTGCTGCTACATTCATCACGTGGTAAAAAATTACCATTGGCCACCTTCTTGTTGATCTACTGACGTTGTAGCTTGCGTAAAGCTTATCGACGACATCAACACCAGATTTGGTTCTATTGTAAAAAGAAATTATCTCTGGCTTCGCTTGTTCCTCATTAGAGGTTTCGCTTGAACCTATGTGCAGACTGGACAGCAGAAGAACAGATATATCTGTATAGCCAAATATACTTTTAAAACAATTTCTATTTTTTGGCGATACAAAATTCGGCGGAAGTTCACGTTTATTTTTTATAATTATACCTATATAGGAGTTGTTATTTTCTTCCAGTTGTTTCACTAATTTTAGAGTAGTAAACCAATTGTCTGCAGTGATGTTTCGATATTTTGTATATTATTTACTGTATTATAATACATATAAGCAGTTTTTACTTGAACAAAAAACCCAAACAAAGTATACAGTGTGTCCGTAAAGTAACGAATATAGGCGATAAAATCATAATAAACGGTTTTTGAAAAAATCCCTGAAAGGGGTCTAAAGATTTAAATTTTTTGCAATTTTTTGGTGTAGATTTCAAACTTTTTCGGCCATTTTTAAACGAGTTATGGCGTCATCGATATTTTTTTTAAATGGTATTCCCCCATTTTTATTACGGAATATGAAAGGGGATTTTTTTCTGTATCTAGTACAGTCAATATTAATATTGGTTACATAAGAAAATGTTCGAGAAAAATTACTTTAAAGTTTAACTACTTCAGATTTGTTGACATGATGAAAATAGCAGTAGCCATGAGTAACTATGGTAACCAATTATTTTAAACAATTCCTTGAGTGTCAAAAATTGATTTAGTAACCCAGGACGACTATCGCTCGCCCGTTACCCCACACCGGCGTCGCGTAGCATGTCGAATTCAGATTTCTTTCAAACACTTTACTCGATCCAAAAAATCGGAAAAATTTTATTTTGAAAAACTATTATCGGAATTCGACAAACAGATTTGTTGCGCCCAATTCAGTGCAACCCGCGTTGAAATCCGTCCAGCCGTTTTCGAAATAACAGCATCCCCTTAAACCTCGAAAATTCGCGAAACTATACTAAATATGAAAAAAATTAAATATGCCTCGCATTCAGAACATATTAGGCTATCACCTGTTGAAAAACCAATTTTTTTCGTCTTATAGTTTTTGATAAAAAAATTCATAAAGTGACGGTATGTACGGAAATCTCAAAAATCGGGTGTTTTTTTATGTTTAACTCGCTATAAAAAGACAACTGAGGGGCCAAACATTTTCAAATTCATGTTAATATAGTAGAAACGATCAGTGATTATAACAAAGTTTGCCGCAAATTTTTTCATCAATCGGTTGTGAAGATATTGATCTTTAAACAGACGGCAAGCAATTTTATGCATGTATCTACTGGATACACGCGCGCCTAACGGAGGGTTAACATAGCCACTGTCAAACCCAGGAATATTTTAGGACTTGCTCATAGCAGTATTAAAGTTCTAATGGGTGTCTGTACTGGGCACTGCTGATTGATAACAACTTGTTGGGACTAGCCGACTATGTGTGGAGGACGAAGAATCGTATCAGATTCTCGATTTTTGGGTGGCAGTTTATTTCCCCAAAGGATTTGAATGCCTTTTCAACAAGCAAGATATTGAACATTAGACTGCATGGTGAAATTTGATAACTATCTAACTATGTTATCTGTCAGGGTACAATAGATCTTGAAGACATCGGAATATACGTTAANTAATGTAATTTCTAAATCTAGTTTAGTTGTAGTTACAAACCCCAAATTCTTTCTTTATTGCACCAACAAACATTTCATCATCATCAGCAGCACTCCAATTAATTTTAGCAATGTTATTCTCACATTGAATATACTCAATTAATTCAACAGGGCGAAAATTCCTCGTATAAATATCAGCATTTAAAAACGTCGTTATTTCACTTAAATTTCCAATGGTAGCACTCATCCCAACAATTTGTATATTTTCTGTGTAAAATAAAATAGCTTTATTAATAAGTTTAAGTAAAATGAGATCAACAAACCGTTTAAAATCATAATTTTTGTTAATAATTCTTCTAAAACACACCCCCTTCCAGCTTCACCAACCAAATGAAGTTCATCAACCACGACTAATCCAATTTCATCAAGTCTTTCAGTATCAACGAGGCTGTTTATTATTCCTAGAGCTTTTTCCATTGTTGCGATGTAAATGGAATTCTTTCTACGGCGTTTTCTTGGGGGATAAACACCTTTTCCTGCTGCATATTCTTCGATTAAAAAGTTTAAATCGACTGCAAATGGTGATAATGACCAAACTTTTTCTTGTACAATCGCAACGAAAGGTAAAACAAAAATTGCGTTTTTCTTGCGACATAGTAATTCGCGCATTATTAGTATTTCAGCTACAAGAGTTTTTCCTCCACTTGTTGGTAAAGCATAAACAAGGTTTTTTCGATTAACGATTGATGGTAAATTTAAACATTCATCTTGCCAATCTAAAACATTGAGATTTTGTAATAAAATAATTAAGAAAGATTTTTATTTTTGTTACCATACAAATTTTCAATTCCACGATATAATTTAAATAATTCTTTAACTTTATTTGGTAAACCATAAAAATTCCCAAGATTATTAAATTTAACCTCTTTACTGATTAATGTTGAATTAATAGCTTTCGAAGGAGAAATTGTTTTTTCAGCATTTTCTAATAAAGCTTTCCTAAAGGTATCATTTATTTCATTTTGAGTATCTTCCAATAACGAATTATCAATGCTAATTGAGTTTTTAACTTTATTTAATTCACGTTGAATCCAAGAATCATTTGGCAATGTGACTTTTTCAGCTTTTGCTTTAATAAAGGTATTTACATGTCCAGATGGAGTGATATTCTCTTTTATTTCGTTCAATTTCATTTCTACATCTAAAGAGAATGCGTTTTTTTGTTGAAGTACTTTTATATCGTCTTCTACTTTCTTCATTACTTGCGTATCATTACAAATTTGAGTAAAACCTCCATCATTAGCTAAAATCATCGAAAATTCGCTCATTGAACCACTTTTTTTATCATTGGATCGACTTTTTTCAACCAATATTTGAGTGTCGTCGAAAATTGGTAAAGTATCATCAAAAGCAGTGTCAAAATTCATCAGGCAAGGTTTTTTTATTAATCGTTGTAAACCTGCTTGTTCAAGCCCCCTTTTCTGGTTCTCTTTGGACATGGATTGTAAATCAAATTAATTCGAATAAAATTAATTAACTCACTTAAGTATGAAAGTAAATGAGTAATTTAAGTTATCTTACCGATTTTTGATGTCATATTAAAGAGCTTAAAAGGGAAATAAGATTTTTGTGAGAATTCGAATTTTATAGTGACAGTTTGAGGTTAAATTTAATGTTGATAAAGTAGGGTGATTTATTAATTTGTTTAAATTAAGTTTAAGTTTAACAATTAATATTTAATGTAATTATAAATTATATTAATAGATTAATTATAAAATTTAAAAAGTATTAATTTAATCTGTTTAGAAATTAGAAAAAAAATTTTTTTTAACAATAGATGGCGCTATAAATTGCCGCCAATGAATATTCTAGAACCTAACCTAAAAGGCTTAAAAGCACTGTGACATTTTACTTAAATTTCATTCCATATTAAATTATTTAATAATTCCGGTGTGTTTAAAAGATTAAAAATGAATAAATCATTAAAAGAAACGCTCACCGAGGTATGATTTTAATTAATTACACTATGTTTAAAATGTAAAAAAAATCAATAATTCTTTCAGTTAAAACTTGATCAAGCCGAGTTAGAAAAGCTATCTAAACTTTCCGAACGTAGGAAAATCAAAGATTTGCTCACGTTGGAAGCTGCGAAAATCGCTACGCAATTGCAAAAACTCGAAGAGGAAGCTACTCAAATTGAAGCTGGTGGGGAAAATGTTTCTAAACCCGTTTCGGTTGTTGTTCCCCAAAGAAAAAGTTATGAAGTGAAATTGAATGAATATGCTTGGGGGCAATCGAAAACCAACGTCACGTTTTATGTTAATCTTCCAAAAGTTGAAACAATTCCCAAAGAAAACGTTACCTGTACATTCCAACCTCAATCTTTGGAACTGAGAATCCGTGGATTAGAGAATAAAGATTATTTATTTGTTATTAATAAGTTGTTGCATGCAATAGATCCAGAAAAAAGTTCGATTGTTATTAAAACAGGTACAAATAATCTTATTAAATTAATTTTTGTAAATGTAATTATTTTTTTTTAGATTCTATTAAGATATTAGCTGCTAAGGTTGATCAAACCCAGACTTGGTCACATGTCACTTTGTTAGAACAAAGAGCAAGTGAGGCTAAAAAGTTTAAAACTCCTGGAGATGGAGATTCTTCAGGAGATGGTACTCAAGGCTTAGTGGATATTATGAGAGACATGTTAGTTTTTTTTTTTTAATTAAAATAAATGATTTTAATTGGCAATTTTTTTTGGTAGGTACAACCAAGGTGATGATGAAATGAAACGAACTATTGCAAAAGCTTGGGCAGAAAGCCAATCAAAAGGTCCTGCTTTTTAGATGTATTATTAGAGTATAATAATTAAAATAATAGTTTCTGTCCTTATTTTTTCAACTAAATGGAGTAATAAAATAAAAGAAATCTTTTATTGTGATTTATTGTGGTATTTATTTTTGAATCTTAATGTTATAAGTTTTCCTTAATTTTTTTTACATAGAATAACTACGTATACATTTTACATCATATATAAAACTACGTCAAAGTGAAGATTATGGTAACTTTAAAAAAAAATTTTGTAAAAAACGTTTAGAAATTGGTACATTGAGATCTTTTCTCATAGTCATTAAGAACGATCTAATTCTTTTAATTTTTCTTATCTTAATTATCACTTAATCTTTCGCATTTTTCCAACATTTATTTTTCTGACTTAAGTACGGCAAGTTCATTCCGGGGTTTCCCCATGTTAATCAATTAATATTAATTAAAAAAAAAAATAAAAAAACGCGAAAATAACGGCATAGATACAAAAGTAAGTTTGGTATAAAGGACTATATACGTTCTTGTTTTCATAAAAAGGAGGTGATCACATTTCATTTCTTATTCTTTTTTTTTAAGACTTTTATTTTTTTTTTTAGTGCTAAACCCCTAAAGATCGCATAACTTCTTTGCTACTCTCGTAGAAAACCGGAGCCATCATCGATCTTGTCTTTTCTATTAATGAATCGACGTCTTTAGCGGTTAAACCCGCTGTAGGAATCGGTGGTAAAGCCGTTATCATTATTTTACCTGCAAAAAAAGGATTTGAATAGATTAACCTTTCTTAAACTTTTCAATACACGCGCTCCATCTATTGCTGGCTAGCTGTTTCAATTGACAAGCAATTTGTTAGTTCTACTTTTAATTGTTACTCAACTCTAGATTATTGTATATTTTTATGAATCTAAAAGTAGAACTAATACTGGAGGTGAATCTTGGGGTTGGCTAGGGAGACTCTGGGATATATCGTGCGGGAAGAAATGAAGATAGATAACATGAGAGTGGAGGCGGGTAAGCGAACGGTGCATTTTGAGGAGAGGATGGAAGGCAGAGGGCATTGCAAAATCTTGGAGGAGTGCTACACACAGATTAAGGCAAGTAAAGAGCGTTGTAGGCAGCGAGAAATACTGCAGAAAAGCGGGGTATTCAAAAGAAGAAGTGAATAAGAAAAGAAAAGAGACGATTGAGATGTAGAAAAAACTGGAGAGCAGGGATGTGGGAATGCAAGAGAGAAGGACGACGATAAAGGAAAGTAGTACAACCCAAAATATGCCGAAATTGTAGCGGAAGGGCTACCAAAGTACCTAATGATAGAGGGGAAGAAGTTGGTAGCCAAATTCATATGTGGCAATGAAGAAAGGACCAATAGATATTGGATGGAGGATGAGCAGAGGGAGATCTGCTGGGGCAGTGCAGTGAGTTGAGGGAAAAGGAGATGGATGAGGGAGGTGGTGGCAGCGAGGAGACATAGGGTGACAGAGAGAGGCTGGTTAAAGGGATAATCATTATACATATAAGTTATAAGTATTGTACTTAGTATAAATCTGGAAAACAATAAATTATTATTATTACATCTAAAGTAGAACTAACACTAGAACTAGAATCATTCGAGTTTAGCAATCTTATGAGACACATCATCATCATCATTGGCACCACAACCCTTGGAGAATCTTGGCATGTTCTAGGATCAGCTTACACTCTGTTCTATCTCGTTCCTTGGCCTTCCACTTTCTAACACTCAGCATTTTTAGACTTTCTTCCACACAGTCCTTATATCTTCCTCTAGGCAACAAATTGTAATCTCTCAAAGCAGTCTAACAAGTTTACACCATTTTTTTGTCATCGTCCATATTTCTGACGCATATGTGACACCTGACGTTAATATTTCTTTCAGTCTAAAGTAAGCTCTATAGCCATATACAGTCTGTTGTATTGTTAAGTTGTGTACTATGCATGGCCTAACGACTTGTATTCTAAATATGTATTGGGATTTTTTACACAATAAACCAGTCTTCATCTGGAAGTTGTGGGTGTATCATTTATTACCCTTAAGAACACGATAATTAATAAATCATGGCGCTGTGAACAGGAAAATGTTAAGACTTTAAGATTGTTGCATGAGAGCCACATGGGAATTACAAAAACATTATTACGAGCTACACAAGCTATATTTTGGTCTAGTGTAATACATGAAATAGTGGAATATATCAGTAAATGCTCGATTTGTGAAAGATATTCAATTACGAATTGAAAACAACCATTAATGTCCCATGAGATACCGGAGAGACCACTTCAAAAGCTAGGAATGAACATAATGACATATAGTGGCAAAGATTATTTAGTTGTAATAGATTGTTTGTCCAAATGGATTGAAATTTTTAAAATTAAAACTAAGACATTTTCAGAAATTAGCGATAAACTACTAATTGTGTCATCAAGTTATGGTGTCCCAGAGGTAATAATAGCTGACAATGTACCATTTGGATCAGAATACTTGAAAAAAAATTCTAAACAATGGAACTTTAAAATAATTACTAATAAGTAATGGAATGGCAAAGAAAGCAGTGCATATAGCAAAAAAAATTTAAAAAAAAAGTAAAACCTAAAAGAGCAATGGAGACCATTACTGATGGAGTATAGAGCTACTCCATGCCCAAATACAGGATATTTTCCAGCAGAAATGCTAATGTCAAGAATAATAAGAACTAAATTCATCCAGATAAATTGCAACCAAAAATTAATGATTTCTAATAAAAATAAATTCAAAACAAATCAAGAACGATATAAAAATACGCATGACAGAAAGCGATTAAGAAAAGAACTAAATTTTAAACCATATGACAGTTCAGATAAACAAACAGTGGATACCTGCTAAGATAGTTGAGAAGGAAGAAAACTCCAGATCGTACAAATTAACAACAGAGAATGTTCAACAATCACAAGTACAGCTTTCATGTGAGAACATCACATAATGAAGCTATAACACATCCACGATCTCCTGATGATGAGGAACATAACTATATTAGGTCTAATCACAAGTACAGCTTTCATGTGAGAAAATCACATAATGAAGCTATAACACATCCGCGATCTCCTGATGATGAGGAACATATAACTATATTAGGTAGATAAATCCGACAGCAATCATACTGCTGAAATATCTGAAACTGAAATACCAATAATGATACGTAGTAAACGTAAAATTAAGTTACCAAGTAAATTTAAAGACTTTATAATATATTAATTAAATTTAAGATGGAGATGTTGGACCTTTTATACAATAACAGCTGCCAGATGGAGACTGGTATCTGGCTGCTGTGGGTGTATCTGGAATTTACTACCCTTAAGAACATGATAATTAATAAAACACAGTTTTCTAATTTCAGCAGACTTTATCTTATTTTCAGTTAGCTGGGTTACAAGGTATACATTCTGTTCCGTTAAGCGTACGGAGCGGCTGTATCTTGACAACGGTAAGGCCTAGAGGTTTGGGAAAAAATCCTTATAAGCAGAGTGGGCAAGAGAAATAACTGGAAATTATTTTGAAGTTCGTAATTCGATCGCTAGGGGGCGTAACTGGCATAGAGAAACATGAAATTCCCGCTATCTGAGAAAGTTAAACGATGAGCTATAACTTTGACAACATCATTTAGTAACTTGGATAATACCGCATCACTTTTGTTTCGCGATATTTGTCATATCTGTCATAATAAGGGAGGGGGAGGCCAAAGCGTTTTCAAATGTTTACATTTTAATATCTCCTGGACCATTCAACCGATTTGAATATGTTTGGTCTTGTTTGAAAGAGCATTTTATGATCTTTTAAAAGATATTTTCAGTAAGACAGATCGGTTTAAAAGAAATAAGTTAGAAGGCGTTATCTGTAGCGATTACTTACTTCTGTGATTTTTGAAAAAAGTTAAATGGAACAGTACTATTTACTTCACAGACAGACCCTTAGTCAACTTAAAATTTGCTAAATATTAGTGAAAACCGCATCTCAATATCGCCATCCGTTCTCGAATTATAGAAGAAAATGTTAAAAACTCGAGTGCCCTCAATCGGATCCAATTACCTCATCGAGAAAAACAAATCACATAACGATGGTAACTGTCAACATGTCATTTACTAACGCAGAAGCGTATGATGAAAATGTGCAATGCAATTACTACAGAAAGACATTTTTCTCTAGAAGTGTTTTTAAGATTGGCTTAGCGATTACGGGAAACTGGCAACGTGTAGCCTATTCAGACATCTCTATGAATTCGTAAATCACATTGGTACGCAATGCGATCCCACATAATCTAGGAACCCCGAAAACAATTGTCTACAGGACTCCTCAAGAAAATAATATGTATCTCCACCACATTGTTTTACATCAGGCCTTAACAGATACCGATTATGATAACAGACTGAACTATTATCATTGACTTTTAAATATGATTCGGGCATATCCAAAGCTTTTATCACAAATGCTATGGATGCATGAAGCACCTTTCAACACGCTGATGTAAACTCGCATAATATGCATTCTTGGTTCGAGCAAAACCCACATTGCTTTCACCCCTTTATTTATGGGGTAAAGTAACTCAGTAAACAAGAAACATCTGTGATACATTTCAATTTTAACGTACATTGAATTAAATGAAACATCTTAGAACTATGTTTCCTATACGTGACAGATACGATTTTTACGAAACGTATCTAAATATATGTATCAAATACATTTCAGTAGAAATATCTATGAATTATCATTATAATATGTAGCAGAAACATTTCTCTATAAATGTGTCTGAAACATGTCTGGAATATCTTCATCAGCGCCTGTGAACGTGTGCGCATGTGGCAGGCCGCGGTGACGCGATCAGCGTCTTGTCATGTCTTGTTTTATTGTGTTTTGTTCTGTTCTCAGTTCGAATCGTTCGAATATAGGTTTAGGATAGCGCAGGTCAGTTTTGTATAAGCGTTTTATATTTCACCGCTAGATTTAGTTAAAGAAAATACTTAATGAATTTTATTTAAGTTACCAATTAAGTAATATATTTTGTATAAATATTTACTAAATATATTTAATGCATACCTACTCTTATACTTGCTTTATTTGTCCTAATCAATGAGAAATCGTAGAAATTATTGGTTGATAATTTTGAAATTTGGTACAGTAGGCGGTAAGTAACAAGTAGGTATAGTACTTCCCTTATTATTATTTTATTTTGTTGCAGCGTGCACAGTCTGGTATGCTCAGAAATGCTTCCTCAGTATATGCATATCTTCTGAGGAAGCATGTATGAGTATCTTTCTTGTCCGGCATGCAGACGCTAAACGTCAACGAAATTATATCATTACATATATCCCTGAAACGTCAACGAAACCTTTCAGAAATTATTTTTAAATGTTTGTGATAGTTTAAGGTTTAAGGAAGGTAGTTCGAAAATTTGTGACCTATTTTTGCCAAACATTTAAGTAATTCTAACTGTTTTGGTATATTTTGTTTTATTATCATTGTTGATGTTTCATTGATCCGTTGGCTTTTAAACACGTCTCAAAAGTAGTTTCGAACCAGTTCTAAGCTTGGATAAAGTGTGAATGAAGGTTCTAGGCAATAACATTTATGTGCTGTACAATATCGCAAAACAAAAGCGATGCGGTATTATTCAATCTAATGTTGGTATAAACACTAGAATAAACGTCTACAATACCGGCGTATAGCATAAGTAACGGTATACGGCACAGGATAGCTATACCGTGCAATTTAACGCGAATAGCTTATTCTAGGAATAAGTCAGAGACTGTTTGACATTGATTATAATCAATCAGACGTAATAATTATTGTATGAATAATGCGTAATGGTGATTTTCAACTTAAAATTTGTGAGACATTCAAAAATAAGTTAAATTTGCGAAAAAACTAAAAGTGATGAAAATTTTTTATTATTTTTCCCGGATTCAGCACTCAAAAATCAACAAAAATCGCCTTTCGCAGTTTCACAAAAAGTTTTTGATCGCAGGACTGAGTAATTAAAACTAGAACTAACACTAGACTTAGAACTATAAACATTCGGATTTAGCCATATGTCTCTTAAGACGTCTAAACTCTAATGGTTCTAGTTCTAGTATTAGTTCTACATTTAGTTCAATAAATATACAACAACCTAGCGCTGAATAACTATAAAACTAGAACTAACAGAACGTAAACAAACCACATGCGCGCTGCGCGTTATACCCACAGTATTACCAACCATTGGAATAACTATTCTAGCATAAGAAAAGCTTTATAAGACGCATTCGTTAAATTAATGACGCGAATAAATTATTCTGGGAATAACTATTCCACTGATTATACCAACACTTGTAAGATCGGCCCTTAATGATGTTGTCAAAGTTATAGCTCATAGTCCAACTTTCTGAGATAGAGGGAATATGTATGTTTCTTTTTATGTTTTAAAAATGTTATGTTTTATGTTTCCCTATGGCAGTTACGCCCCTAGCGGTCGAATTACGATCCTCAAAATAATTTTCAGCTATTTTTCTTGCCCACTTAGCCTATAAGGATTTTTTTCCCAAACCTCTAGGCCTTACCGTTGTCGAGATACAGCCGCTCCAACGGGACAACCTGTATAAATTCCTTTACACCTTTCAACGTATATGGTTCACTAATCACATTTATTTATTTATTTTACTCCCGAAATTACAGGGTTGCCCCTAATTACAAATTTCAGAACTTAAGTCTACTAGTACATAATATAACCAACAAAAATAACAAAACAACCAAGATCAAGCATAAATGTTAATTAACCCATCACAGAACGCGCGGAGGATATATTGAACCAAAACATTAAAAAATGAATAGAATTACATCACAAATTACAGAATTCAATGACAAAAATCAAGTTTGGCTACTGGGTGGCTGCAGCACTTATCAAAGGTGTCAAATGTTGTTTAAACGATCTAATACCAATGCCAAACAGAGGTATGAAGGAAGAAGCCGACAGTGTGTTGTACAGTGAAAGGATTCTAATAAGAGGAGAATTTCGTCTCAGTTCAGTTGAAAACCGAGGAATATAGAAAAGATTCTTTAGCCTACCACAATATGCAGGCGCATAGAAACCAATATTTTCTAATATTAATGGAGCATTTATACTATTATTCAACATTTTATACAGAAAACAGAGTGATATAATTTTTCTTCTGAGAGACAACCTGGTGATCTTAAATAATTTGCGTGCAAATTCGTACGATCTAAAACCAATGAAAACACGGAATTTTTTGTAGTAGAGATACCTAATGAATTTATTTTGAATAGTTTCTATTAAATTAGAATAAAGAATTGACCCGGGATCCCATACTATTACCGCATATTCCAGCTTAGATCGCACTAAAGAATTGAACAGTAATTGCAGCGTCTGTAAGTTTGAGAAACTGTACCCATTTCTAATGACAAATCCTAAGAGACGCAAAGCTGTGGTTGCTGTGGCTTTAATATGTTCAGCAAAGCATAAACCAGGCGAAAACAACACACCCAAGTCTCTCTTTTTAACAACACACCTCAAATTCACATTATTTATTTTATATACAAATTCTATCGGCCTCTTCCTCAATGTATACGTCATTGACTCACATTTAGACACATTAAAATGGAGCTTGTTGAGCCGACACCAATTAAATACGTTATCTAAATCAGACTGTAAGGACCGGCAGTCAGTTAAGTCGTGTACAGTTGTGAATATCTTCAGATCGTCCGCAAAGAGTAAGCATCTGGTTGAGTTAATTACCAGGGGCAAATCATTTATAAATAACAAAAATAACAAAGGTCCCAGATTACTACCCTGCGGAACCCCTGAATCAATCCCCAACATATCTGATACTGCGTTTTTATAAGAGACGTAATAAAATCTGTTGGACAAATATGAAACAAAAAAACTAAGAGTAGAATAAGAAAACCCGTGTTGTGCCAGCTTGTGCAGAAGCGTATCATGATCCACCCTATCGAATGCTTTTGCAAAATCCGTGTAGATAACATCCACTTGAGCTCTAGCATCCAATGCTTTGGAAACGTAATCCGTAAAGATAGTTAAGTTGGTCTCCACAGAGCGACCAGGAATAAATCCATGCTGATTAACATTCAACGAAAGTTTTACTTGATTGAAAATCCTGCGATAAATCAATTGTTCGAAAAGTTTAGCAAAACAGGAGATTACCGATATAGGTCTATAATTTCCTACATCACCAGAGGGGCCAGATTTGTGAATCGGAGTCACTCTTGCGACCTTCCAAACATTTGGAAATGTATTCGTCACAAGTGATAAATTAAAAATTATGTATAATGGCATTACAAAGGCGTCTTTGCAGCCCTTCACAATGTAAGAGGGAATACCATCTGGTCCCTCTGTACGTTTAGATTTAAGCTTATTTATGGCATCACCAATTTCATTCATTGAGAAGGATTCCAAGTTGAACAAATCGAATGAGTTATTATATTATACATCTTTAGGTGGTGTCAGCTGAGCGTTATTAGAAACCTTCGTATTTACATGTAGCCCTTGTCTCCCTACTGCTCCTTCCAATGATTTGAAGGCCGTTTTGTTCTAGCTTCTATTAATAATGGTTCCTCTATTTACTATATCCGATTCTCTTACAGCCTTCTCCAGAGAGATGTTAAACAGTAAACATGATAGGCTATCCTCCTGGCGTAGCCCCACGCCTGTCTGAAAGGATCTTGATAACTTATTTTAGACCTTAACTTTACACTTAATTTGTGAGAACGTTGCTTTTACTAATTTCAATTAAATCTATTGGGATATTGAATTCTTTTAAAATCTATAAATAAGTGGTAGGTGTCCATCCTGTATTCGTAGGTCTTTTCTAGGGTTTGCCTAAGAAGGAAGATTTGGTCGATGGTTGATTTTCCTTTACAACAGCCACATGGCTAAACCCGAATGTTCTAGTTTTAGTTATTCCGCAAATATATAAGCTTATAATACAAATGATTTAAAAAATGATTTACCATGGTCAAAACGTCGATTGGCGTCATCTAAAAAATAATACTGGCTGTAAACGACAGGTAAAATTGGTATTTGGGCGGAAATGGCTAAATGAAAGGCTCCTTTTTTGAACGGGTGAAGTTCGCCGGTGTTGTGACGCGTTCCTTCAGGAAACACCCATAATTTAGTCTGAAAAAATATAACATTTCATTAATTTTAATTTTTTATATTCAAAATTTATCCACAGATTGAATTAATCGGTGGGACAATGACAGATAAAAAGAATTCAATTGTTAGAGCCGATCAAAGGTTAATAAATTAATGCAATTTTTTTTTGTTTGGCTGTACAAGGATTTTGAATCACTTTCTTTTAACGGCCTTCGTTATTTATAACATTAGAGTGTTTCAAATGAAATTAAAATTGTATTTCAATGCACAAATGATTTTTATTAAGAAAGACTTTGACGTTTATTAATTTTATTTAAATATTCGTGACAAACAATTCTTTTTGCTGTACGAAACAAGTCGTTTAAATCATTAATTTCAATTCAACGATATAAAGGGGTAAAAAAAATGTCTAAATATGTAACGGAAGAAATGGAATCGATTTTTAAAACTACACATCCGATATCGACGCGTCAAGCGGCATCCGAAGAGTTAAATTATCTATATCCAGATTGTGTGCCGGTGGTGGTTCAGAAAACGATCGACTCGAAAAAGATAGATTTGAGACGTGATATGTTCATAATACCGAAAACGATGACGTTCGGTCAACTGCAAAATTTAATACGAAAAAGAAGCAACGTTCGACCGGAAGAACCGCTACGATTTTATGCGGCCGGAAAAATATTGTACCCGTTATTATTAATGGGAATGATTTATTCTCAGTATAAAGACGAGGATGATTTTCTTTACGTGCATTATTCAACTAAAGTCGATACTCCTCCAATTCCGAAACCACGCAAATTTAAAAATAAAAGCAATATGAATCTAAGTAATAATAGTAACGATACTAATGTTAATCAAAGCGATGTTGCGTAAATAATTTGAAAAATAGATTTTATAAATTTTTGTACAAAATCTTTTTTAATCCTTAAAATTAAAATGTTATTCCATAAAACGTAAACGTTTAGTGAGTATTAAAGTGTCTTTAGCAACCTCGGTTTATAACAATAATGCATTATTTCAGTCACATAGAGTACTTATTGTTAGTGAGGTAACTTTTTTTTGTGAAATTCGAAACTTTGAACATCGATGGAATAATATTAAAACGCGAACGATTTTGATTTAAAACGGAACGACGTCGTACAACGAGAAAGTCGTTCGTCGTCAATTGGCACCAATTTACTCTCCACTAAGTAATACTTATTGATTAGCTTGATTAGAACTATGTAGTTAAGATGAAAAATTTCAAAAAAAAATAAGTAAAAATATATTAAAACATTTTTTGTTTTTTGTACAGTCTAGAAACGAAATGAATACTTTTAAAGAAGTGTATATCTGTGAAATTCCAGCGATCATGTCCTCAATCGCCACCTTCAGAGCTTCAAGGGTTCAACATTGTATACCTCAGCTTTGACGTATCCTCATAGAAAATAAAGTTGCTAAAATAAATCACTTTATGATATCAATACTGCGTTGTCATCAGAAATTGTATTGTATTGTCTTTGATGCAGTACATTTTTGCGTATACATATTGCATATTAGACGCATGGCCGAAAAGATTCAAAACTACAGAATTCTTGAACCAAAACATGTTTATTGTTGTCTTCTAAGAGGTCATACAAGTTAGTTTGCAAAAAATTCAAGTAACACATTCCGGAAAACCTGGGTGGTAAAAAGAAAGTGCCGATGAGATGGTCGTGTTTTGACGTACTGATCAAGAGGATGTCGTAAATCTAGGAAAAGTGATGCATTATAAAGATAACATTTAGATTTGGAATTAGTAATTTTCTAATTTTTGGAAGGATGACGTTTGCCAAAGTAGTACATATTAGTATTTATCATATTTTTAGTGAATCAATAAGTTAATCGTGACGGTCTTGTAATAACTCATAATAATAACTAGATATCAATACTGCGTTGTCATCAGAAATTGTATGGTCAGGTCTTTGATGCAGTACATTTCTGCGCATACATATTGCATATTAGACGTATGCCCGGAAAGATTCAAAACTGTTCAGAACTACAGAATTCTTGAACCAAACCAGGTTTATTGTTCAATATCTTCAATATTTATTAACCGCCGTTCAACGATTAGTAATCTTGCGGTGATTACAGAAGTAATATGAGAATCCTTAGATAAGGGTAGTCAAGTGGATGTGGTACACAGTGACTTTTCTAATGCATTTGATGCGATCAATCTCGATCTTCTTCTCTAGAACTTCAGTATGTTACGTCTGTGAAGTTAGCACCTCATTTTTTTAAAACTTCAAATTTCTCTTGAGTCCCATTGCACCCCATTGAGTTCTATAGTTCTCTACCATTTTTATTAAAAGTTCCGCAAAAATAGGCAAAAACATCGATATTGACTTTTTGGGGTGCTAAGTTCACAAAACGAGATCACAAAATTTGCAATAACTATTAAACGAATGCACGTATCTAAAAACTTTATTAAAATATCTTTTAGAACTCGTGAGGTGCTATTCAGAACTCCTGCCAGAACNGTTTTTAGATACGTGCATTCGTTTAATAGTTATTGCAAATTTTGTGATCTCGTTTTGTGAACTTAGCACCCCAAAAAGTCGATATCGATGTTTTTGCCTATTTTTGCGGAACTTTTAATAAAAATGGTAGAGAACTATAGAACTCAATGGGGTGCAATGGGAACTCAAGAGAAATTTGAAGTTTTAAAAAAATGAGGTGCTAACTTCACAGACGCCAGTATGTTTGGCTTTTCCCCTGGGCTTATGTGTCTTGTTTCATCGTATTTATCAAGATGTCCACTACTCTAACTGTTTGTAATATTTATTCCGACTTCGATGCAGTCGGATCTTGATATCTTGGTGGAATGATGCGATCGTAATCAGCTCAGGATTAATGTGGAGAAGTGCAATGCTAACACATTTACACGTAGAACTACTCATATCCCTTCATCCTGCTGTATAGGTGGAATCTACCTGCTTAAGTTGACTTTTGTCAGAGATCTGGGAGTAACTTTTTTCGGGTGCTTGTTCTGCCGAGACTGGAGTATGGTTCTGTTATATGGTCACTGTATTATATCTCGCATCGTCTTCTTTTGGAGAGAATTCAAAAAAAAATGTTAAAGTACCTTTCCTTTTCGCTCAATTCTTCAAACATCTTGAATAATAAGTCCTTCCAAATAGCAGCATGTGTTGACGACATTAATATAATGGGAAGAGCAATAACGACAGCGAAGGAAATATTTATCGAACTGGGATTATTGATCTGGGAGTCAAACTATCAAAGTATGGCAGCGAGGAGCCGAAAGTCCGAAGAAGGATTGCACAGGCAACAAAGCATATTTTACCCTTCTCTATATATTTAGATCGTATGGTCTATACCCCAAACAATAAAATACGTTTATATCAAAGTATTCTATAGCCAATATTAACATATGGGTGCAAAGTACATCTAAAAGAGAACTCGAATCTAAAATAGACCAACGCAAGCCAGCGGGAAGACCCAGAAAGTATCCTCGGCATCAGGAACTGGAAAAAAGCAGCTGGGGAAACAAATTAAAAAAAAATGGGACATCCTGTATAAATGTTGTCAACGCTGAAACGTTTCTTGATAACTATGGTTTCATCTTTTGTTGCATTCCAAATAGAATTCAGATTCCGATTATCTGTACTATACTGGTGATATAAACATCAACAAGTTATATTTTAGCACCCTGTGTGCAAAGAAATTTGACGCGCTTTTGACGAAATTACTCCTTTATCATTGAACTTTGAAGCACCAAATCGTCTTCTTTGTATGATTAAATATCCTTGGGTTGAATGTGCTCTGACTTACATCTTCGCTGGAGTTGACGTTGACCGAGCCTATTGAGCAACGACAATTACTTAACATCAAGTATACAAAAACAAACGTAAAACCCGGCGCATTCTTCTGGAATAAAGTTGAGCCGTTGGAAAGAATTGATAAGTTTGCATACATGGAATCTATAACCCGTCCATCCGGTAGGGTTCGCAGCATAGCTGCGAATATCTTTACACCCAACAGAGTAAGGTGGGCTATTTCTAATTTCAAGCCTCTAAAATTGCTTGGAGGGGATGGAATTCTGCCTATTTTTCTGCAAAAAGGCATAGAAGAATGCTTCCAGTAATAATATCCCTATATACCTATACTATGGAGAAAAGTAAAGGTGGTCTTCATACCTAAAGATGGTAGGCGTTCAAACGCCGATCCCAAGGCATACAGACCAATTAGCCTAACTTCATTTCTCCTCAAAGGGATGGAAAAGGTAATTGATCAATATTTTAGGAATGGAGTGCTTGTTACTAATCCACTAAATTTGAGTCAACATGTTTACCAGAAAGTAAAATCAACAATTACTGCTCTCCATGCTTTGACAAGCACTTTAGAGGGGACAATTGCAAACCAAAGAGATAGCCCCATGTCCTTTCATAGACATAGATGGTGGCTTTTGATAACACCTCCTACGAATCCATAGAGACTCTAAACGTAAAAGATATACATCCGTCGAAAACGATGCGTCTAAACAAAAATTTCTAAGAGTAAAAATAATTTTAAAATGAAATAGGCTTTTAGAAGCAGTTCTAAAATTGAAGGGTTTAAGACATAATAAAAAAAGTTTTAAAGAAATAACCTTTGTGAACACCTGTATAGCATTGCTCACGTGGTTGCATATTTTCAAAAGTGATCTTAAACGAATTTTCATGATAAAATTGCACTCTACCAAATTTTATCTTTCTCAGACAAACCATATTGAAAATATTTAAGAAAATGATTAAAAATTTCTTAACTTTAAGAGCCCATATCTTAATCATTTATGGGTTTAAATAAAATTTAGGTATTGAAATAAAGAAATTCTCGCTATAAAATTAATATAATCAGTACCGGTTTCGGCTAAAATGCCATCATCAGCTGAATCTACAATGATGTAAGTATGATGTATTATGTAAGTCCAAAAATGTTGTATATTTTACATTTATATTTAAAGATTTTCATTTTAGTTTTACATTAAGTCTTTTAACTTATGT